TTAAAAATTAGAATAGTTAATATCATTTATATCTTTAATGGATAATATTTTTATATAATTAATTATTAATTAAAAACGAATTTTACTAATTTGATATGTATCATAACCAAAAATAGTTTATAATTTTTTTCATGGATTTGATAATTACCATTATCTTAAAAATAGTTTATACTTTATTATAAAATATTTATTAACCTTGATGGATAAATAGATTTTTTGATATATAATTAACCATAAATTAAAAAAATATTTTCTTAATTTAATAATTATCATTATATAAAAATAATTCATATTGTGTTATCTAAAAATGATTTTAACTCAGAAATTTTGTTTTTCTTCTTTTTTAATTCAAAAAGAAGATAACGCCTGTTTAAATATTTAGTATATATAAATGATTTAAGTTTATTTACGTCATAAAAATACTGAAAAACTTATTCATATGTAAACATTTTGATATTTAATTTTGTACTAAATATTTTAAACGCATTAGTATTTTTAAGTTTATTTTATGTAACTAAAGATTTTAGCTAATGATGAAAACTTTGCATATATAAAGAACTGGTTATTTAATTTATTATTAAATATATTAAATGTATAATAACTTATTCAACTGGTATTTGAATTGATAATAGAGAAATTTGCCAATTATGATTCAAAACATGATTTCAAATGCAAAAATATATCCAAAATTAAATCAAATGCAAAACTTATCTAAGTGGCTTGTGAAATTACAGCCAGTTCTATGTAACCATACACAAAAAAAACAAAATTCATTTTTACGAATATAGCCCTAGAAAGTCGTCAAAGTCTTCTAAGATACAGTAGAGAAGTCTTTTGGTGTAGTTGATCTTAAAAATAATTTTTTAATTTTTTTAAAAATATTTTGACAAGTGAAAATCAAAATCATGTAATTATAAACAGTTTTAAGTAGTTAATTAAGATATAATAAATTTAAATAGTTTTCAACATAGATGAGTAAAAGTAATTAATCATGATATTCTTTTGCTTAGAGTTTGGCAACATATGTTGTAGTATTGTATGTATTCTTAGGATTAGATTTTGGAATGTTTAAATGTTTTTTTGAAAAATTAAATTTTTACATATATGTGTTTATTTCTATGTATAGTAAACACTTTTTAAGTTTAATTTGATTTTATGAAGTGTTTAGTTAGTTAATTAAATTTAGAGATTATGTTTAAGGTCTAGACGACTAACATGTAAGTTGTCTGACGATTAGAAGACTTCATTTATGTCTTCTGAATCAAAATATTTAATCTTATTAGAATTTTTTCTATCTATATAAAGAAAAAATTACACATTATCTCTCATCCTCTCAAATAGCTGCATTAAAAATATAATGTTCTTCATTCTAAAACTCTCTAACTTCTCTCTAATCTCTTTAAATTTATAAACACCAAAGTTTATATCAATGTATTGTTTTTGTCTTATGTCTTTCTCACTAATTTATCTTATTTTTGCAGGGTTTTCATCACATGGTTCTCATCTTCCACTCATTTAAATGTAGATCTATTAATTTTAGATATGTATTTTTGTGTGTTTTATAAATATATATCTATCTAATCTTCCACTAATTTTCTCTGTTTTAAACCCATTTGATTTTTTTGGATATGCAAACTTCTTGTAAAATCTTCTGGAAGAGTTCCTGAAAGTTTTCTAACGAAGTCTTCCCCATATCTCCATTTCATAATAGATCTGAGCGTTTGGGTAAGTTTTTATGTTCTGATTTTTCTTCATTTGGTAACCCCCAGTTGCATAAAGTTCTTATTTTTTCCCCAAATTAAAGCTCTCCAAACCCAATATAATCTCTTTGACTTGAAAACACCAAATTTTATTAATTTTTTCTCATGTCTTTCTCACTAATTTATCTTTTTGTTGCAGGTGTTTAATCAGATGGCTCTCATCTTCCACTTGCATATGTACATTGCGTGTTTTATAAAAGTATATATACCTATTATTCCACTCATTTTCTCAATTTTTAAGCCATTTGAACGTTTTTTTATATGCAAGTTTTCAGATCGGGTTTGATATACATGTTTTTCAGATCTGGGTTAGACTTTAAAAGATTTATGGGAAGTCTTCTAAAATATAATGTGATAGAAGAACTTCTGAAAGACTTCCTAGAGTCCAAGCTTGTCTTTGTAGAGGAATGATATATAATAGTTTTTTGTTTTGTTTTGTGATTTGCATATGTACTCTTTTAGTTGTGATTTTTTGTAAATTTGTAGAGATATTAATGAAAAATTTTGGTTAATGTGTTCATTTCCACAATATTATCTTGGCAAAATTAGTTGACATAATTGAAGTTATTGATCCTTCGATAGCAAAACACAATAATAAAAAATTAATCAAATTTATTACAACCAAGAGCGAAGAATTCTCAAAAACATAGTCAAATTCACAAAATATAAAATATTACATAAGTTCAAAGATAAAACATTTTCATTAGAAGTCTCCTTGAAGTCTTTTCGAATTATATAATGTTGGACTTGTTATCTTATGAGAAGTGGTTATATATGATCTTTTTAAATTTCAATTTCACAACTAAAATATAAACTTCACAACACAGATAAATTCATAATACATAAACCCATAACACATATATTTTTAATACAGAGAAATTCATAACACATAAATCCATAACACATAAAGTCTTAATAAAAAGAAGTTCATAAACTCATAACACATAGATAGATGACTTTCGTGTAAGTCTTCTGGTAGACTAATAAGAAGGTCTTCGGGAAACCTAACGTGAAGGTCTTCCACGTCAGTTAGAAACAATAATTAACATGAATATTGGTACCTAACCTTATAAATATCACTAATTAAGTTATAAATTTCATTTAGTATGCCTCAATATTCATTAATGTACATGAATTAAAAAGAAAATGTTAAAAAGTCCTTATAGTTTTAGAGAAAATGAAGGTTTATAGAAAATTGATGCATACGACATCCACAGAAGTCTTTTCTACAACAGACTTTTCTAAAAGTCTTCTTTTGTAAATATTGGCTTACTTTTGTTTAAAAAAAATCTTGAGAATACCAGACAACTTACATGTAAGTCGTCCAGTAAAAAAATTAAAACTTATATATTTAATTTTGCCTAGACGACTTGCATGTAAGTTTACTGCTAGACAACTCAAATACCTAATTTAATATACATTTTCTTGGTATTTAGTGTATACTGATGTTTTTATGTTTTGATGGTTGTATTTGAAGTTTAACTATGAATATATTTTCTTCTGAAATTTAAACAATGTTGTTTATTTAAAAGTTTAAATAATGTTTCGTGCCTTTGTAGAATAGCTAACTGTTAATTTTAATTATTATACATTCACGGACAAGTCTTGTATGATTGATAAATGCGTTTTCTAAAGTATTTTGAAAGAAAACAATTTGATTTGACGAAGCTACATATACATTTTATTGAAAATTTCAGAAATAAGTTTAATCAAATACAAATCAATATATTTGGAACCGATAATCCGGTTAGTATCCAAAAGCAAGAATATTTTAGGTTCAACCAAATCATATATATGTAACTAAACCAAAACCAGAACCGAATCTGTCCTGAACACTTATAATACTCAAATGGGACTGAATTTCATAAACCCAAAACAAAAACAGGAACCTAACTGGAAACCTTAGTTGCCCAGCCAACTATAATGCATATTTGTGAACCAAAGAATTTGCAAAGGAGCTCATAATAATTTTTAATTCACCCCGTTGGAGCCAGTTTTGTTTACTCAACATGGCCCACAGCCCATAGCCCACATCGCAACACGACCAATCCTACTTTGCCATATGGAATATATTATATATTTAACAATTTAAAGAAAAAGATGCAAATGTAAAAAAATGTAAAATAAAACACGTTCAGTAACTGATTTCTATTTATTTCCATCAAATAAAAAAATTAGATATAGTAAAAGTCCCTATTATTTCTCACATGATCACACGATCTCCAAACTGTTACATGTAGTTTTAGTCATCATGCTATAAATTCATCTCTACGTGGATTCACTGTAATTTTCCCTCTTTGTTTTGCAATGGTTGTTGAATCTCTATGTGAAAAGGTGATAAGATTCTTAAAATTTCTAACTAGACAAATGAGATTACTTCGTACAATTACAATTTTCTAGGACGGAGCTGAATGCAAAGTTGACAGATGAAGATTAAAGTTCAGGTTAGTGAGACTAAATACACTCAAACTCTCCAATACATATTTTGCATCATATTAACTTTCCATAAATCTGTATTTATCCTTTTAACGTATACAATTGATCAATATAATTTTCAAATAGACTAAATTAATTTTCTATTAGCTAGAAAATGTTTATTGGTTTTGATGGTAGTAATTTGAGTAAGGAAAGTAACAAACTCACGTTAAAGAAGATTTTATAATGCCTTTTATAAAAACCTTTTTTTGCCAAAAAATTAACAACTCTCATAATAAACTTGAGAACACTACAATGCAAAAAATGGAGCTTAAAAGTGGTAGTAGAAACGAGGTCTCATGTATTCTCCATATAAAGACGGGTCCTCATGTTAGTTTACTTATTTTAAATATGTTCTATAGTCATATAGAGATACTATTATTATTTTTATTTATGAATCAACAAATTTTGTAGATTTTCTCATAGACAAAACTACCAAATAAATATAACATTAGGAATGAAAAAAAGAGTATTGCAAAAAAAAAAAAAATGGAAAAACCGAAAAGTAAACAAACACACCAACCCCGATTATTTACATTTTTCCTGAATCTTTACATCTAAATTTTTATTGTTAAAAAAAGAAAATAATTTTTTTATTTTTTGTTTTGGTTCCATACAGTATATACCCGTGCGAAGCCGGGAGATAATACTAGTATATAGATAACCTTGTAGCCAAACACTTCTTAAACACTTAAGAAATACAGATAACTGTGTAGCCAAAAACACCTTTTCAGTTTCCAAATCGTTAACAGCGATTTCGAACCCTCGTCATCATCTTCTTCGATAGTCCCGCGCCCTCCTGCGAAATTCAAATTCTCTCCATTGCCCTCTCTCTCTCTCTTCCATGGAGAATCACTTTCTTATCTCCGACGAGGAAGATCCGGCCACTCCACTCCCATCTCTCTCTAAACGGGCCCGAAAAGATCCAATCTCTGCGATTATGATATCAGATTCTGATCCGACACCGTATAAGCAGCCGTCAGAATCTTCTTCCACTCCTTTGATTGTCCCAGATACACCTCTCTCTGATGATTTCTCTGTCGTCAAGTGTTCCTTTGGTTCTGGAGCATTAGCTTCATACCGCGATGACAAATTCTCCGGTTAGTCTAGAGTTTTAATAGTACTTACGGTCTTCTTGTTATGTAGAATCGATACATGGAAGCTTATTCTGATTGTGAAATTGGTGTTACTTGAATCTTACTAGGTAAACGAGTGATATCTCTGGATTCAGAGTTTGAGGATAGTCCTCGACCTGAAACTTCGAAGAAGTGTGAACCTGTGCTACCTCGAGGGTTGGAATCTGGATATAGTGATGCAGGTTGTAGTGAGGCTAATTATGAGTATGGTAGAATACCTGAGAGGATAGGTATGTTTACCCCCAAGAAACCAAACTCAAATGTATGTATGTATCTATCTATCAATGAAGCATGCATGATGAACACTAGTATCTTTGTCAATGTTTCTTTTCGAATTTGAATAGGCAAACGGGTAATATCTTTGGATTCCGAGTTTGAAGATAGTCCTCGACCTGGACCTGTGCTTGGTTATATTAGGGAATCGCGTTGTGGGTTGTATTCTAGATCAAGTGTAGCAGATTCTGTTGACGCGAGTACTGGAATAACTGAGCCAAATATTGGTATGCTTACCTCAGAAAAAAAACTCGCTTAATTTTTCTCGTCTACTTATAATGGTGTTGGTGTTTTCTTTCAGCCGGTAATACTAATTGTATGCATGAAGTCAGTGTTCCCTCTTGGCTGACCAATGATACTATCGAGGTACTTATCTGCAATGTAGTACCATATTGTTCATCAGTTGTACACGATTTAGGAACTTTTGATTCTGAAAAGTTCTCGATTCCTATAGATTGCCATTAGTTTGTGTCTTCATGCGATCCTTTTGTTTTGTTTCATGATATTAGGTTACTCTTATTTCTAAATGGCACTGATGTGTGTACACATTGAAATTGCTTTTTTTTTTGTTGTTATTTGTATTTACTAAAAAAACCAGGTAAACGCTGACCAAGAAAAAGAAAATATAAGCACCGAGAACATGGGTAGAAAAAAGCAGATCAGAAATTATAAAACTACAACTCTTCAACGTAGAGAATTGCCAAAAAAACAGTTTTCCAAAGAAGAAAAAATCTGCGCAATGGAGGAGAAGAAGTTGAGAAAAGAGGTAAGTTTTCTTCACTTGACATCTCTATTTTTTTTTTTTCATGATGAATGGTTAACTGGCTTCCATCTTCCAGCAAGATAAATTACATAAAGCAGCCGAAGTTGAGCGTAGAAAGCTAGAAAAGGAAAAGCAACAATGGGAAAAGGGAAAATTAGCCTTGAAACATATCGTTGCTGAGATTGACACTAAAATCGTTGAAGGATCCATTGGAGGTAAGTTCTCTATTGTTTGTAGTAATCCTTTAGCTGTTTTTATATGAGTGGTACTTCATGATTGAGACAAGTTTACACATTGAGTGCTTCTAGTATAATGTTAACACAGGTGTTCTACTTTCAAGGTTCTCTGAGAAAGGCATTGCATTCCGTGTAGCCCCTAATCCAATTGATAGATCCATTGTGTGGACTATGACAATTCCAGAGAATATTGCTTTGGTACGAATAAAATCTCAGTCACTTGAGTTTCAAATTTTTAGAAGTTATTTAACTTCCTTGCATCATGAGTGTCATAATTGACATTTTGAGCTTAGTTCTTAGAACCCAGAACTTGCAAGCAGAATCACCTCTTTAGTTATGTATGTATCCTTGTTTATTTTGTTTCAAAGACTTTTATGACTTATGGATCATACTGATTTGTGTTGCTAGTTTCATTTATTCAGTACTTTTAGCGGTGGTAGTTAAAACTATGATTTTCATCTCTGAATTGTCTTTCTTGCATTTGAGCAATCTTTATCAAAATTCTTCTGCTTTCATTTCGGCCAAAAGTATGCTTACTCTTAAACACCCATCATTAAGAACTAGATAATTCCATCTTTTTATTAGAAAGATAATGATCCCTCATAGCACCCAACACTAAATTGAGTAACATTTTATGAAATATTAATAGAACCAAAGCAAGAGATCCCTATAGAAAATCAGTACGTGACTAAATTATATGAATCATATGTATTGAAAGTCTTATATTACTGTTAATTTGCATCTTCTTTTCTCTTCTGTAGGCTTTCCCAGGAGGGCTCACGATTCGTTATGTGTTACTAGTGTATGAGGCTGAAGAATTTTGTAACCTTGTTGCTTATGAAAAGTTTCTAGAAAACATCTCAAGAGTTCAAGACCGATATACATCTTGTACGGTGTGCTGCCTCACCAATAAGTTACTGTCCTATGTAAAGAAAAGGTGTGTGTGTAAAAAGTACAATCATGTCACATTATGAAGAAGCTGAATAAAACTAATCGTGTAGGGAAAAGGAAGAGTACAAGAACCCGGGTGGTTGGATACAGCCTCCCATTGATGAGGTAATATAGTAGTAACTAATGAGCATGTGTTCATAGGATAGCTTCCTTATTGATTCCTAAAACATACTTCTGTGGTGATAAGTGTTTACAGGTACTTGCAAAATTAACTACTCACTATGTTAAAGTACATTCGAGACACTGTGTAGACGAGGCTGAGGTCACTGAACATGTTGTTGGTTTAACAATCAGTCTGGCTTCTTGTCACTTCAGGTATGAATTTCAACATGAACTGACTATGTTAGAAATAGTTTCAGTTTCCTAATTGAGTTAGAGAGTCTCCTTAAACCAATCATCTCTTTGTGTAAACCCACAAAATCAGATATAACGCAATAGTGCAATAAGGATCTCACATCAAAGGCTGATGATAAACCTGTGGCCAGTTTGTATTCCATCTCATGATTGTTAAGTAAACTCATTTGTTTGATGCACAGGAAGAAACTAACTATGTTATCAGTAAATGCTAATGGTGCATTAGTCACCAAGGATTCAGTTGACAAACACATGATTAAAAAGAGTCCATGGTAAGCTCAAGTCAAAACATTTTAAGTTACTCTGAATCAATTTTAATAAGTTTTGTGTATAGGTTAAAAGCGTTAGTGGCAATACCAAAGGTGCAACCAAGATACGCTGTCGCAGTGTGGAAGAAATATCCATCTATGAAGTCTCTTCTTAAGGTTTATATGGACCCTAACATATCGGTGAGTGGAACGCACTGATTCAGTTTTATTTATGTATAATTTTGACTATTTTCTGAAGCAAAGATAGTGGAAACACACAGATTCATGAGAAGGAGTTTCTATTGAAAGACTTGAAAGTGGAAGGCTTACTAGGAGGAGATATAAGGTTAGGTGAGGTTTGTTCGAAGCGGATATACAGAGTTCTTATGTCTCCAAGTGGAATCATTAAGACTGATGATGTTGAAAACGGTGCTGCTTTTTTCACACATTAGGATCGAAAAAAGTCAAGGTTTTGATCCATTTCTAATATATAAATTATATGTTTGAGTCGTTTCTAGTTATGATTCTAATATAATAAAACTTCAATCAAAATAGTATTTTAGCTATTTCTTTCAGAAAAATAATCCATCTTGAATTGGGTTAGGTTGATTGTTTGTAGATTCTACACTAGCTTTTAGTTTTTGATTTTCAAAAATCACTTTTAATCCAATCAAGATTTTGGTGAAATAGATGTCCTATTTTTTGTACTGAAACTAGTTTTTGCTTCTTTTTACTATCTTCCTAAAAAACAAAATCTCATTTGTTTGTTTTTTGCTAACGGCATGCATTAGTTTCTAGTTTTTTATTTTTCAAAAAATACTAATTTTGTAATTTTACATAAACATTTCCAATACAAAGTTATTTTTATTCTACAATAAATAAAATCACAAAAGAAATTTTCTGTAAATATTAACTTTCTAAAGTTATTTAGGTAGATTAATTTTATAAATGTATAATAAATATCTTATACTATTAAATTTATATAAAGTTGATTAAATTCGTTAGTGATAATTATTATGCATTCATTACATTGTAATTTCTTTTTTTAAAATTTGCGTTATTAGTTTTCATGTTTTTTTTACAACAATTAGTTTTCATGTTAAAATATATGAATTACATAAACTTTAGGTATTTTAAAAATATTTTAAGAAGTATAATTATTAAATATGTTTTTATAAAAACAAAAATCAAAATTTTTAATAGTTTTAACAACTTACATTGGTTTTCATTTTTTCCTTTTATTAAAATTACTGTACATGCATTATTATATAAAAAATAATTAGTAATATAGAGAAATAAGGTTTAATACTACATTTGTTAAGTTATATAACATACAAGATAATTTATATTAAGAACTTTTTTTTATTACTTTTTCAATGTAATGCAAATTATTTAAAATTTAACTAATATATATGCTTTATTAATAATCTGTTGATATTATTTATTAAAAATTGTGATATTATATTGTTTACAAATAAGTTTAAGTCTTAAAAATTTTTTTTTGTCAACTCACTATATTAATAAACAAGCCAAGATATTACATTAGTTTTGCTTACATATTCTAGCTTTTTAAGCTAGGCTATCTACATTATGTAAAAGCGATCTACTAGCATAGTGAAATGTAAAGTCATAAGAGCATCTTTAACCATAGCTCCTCTCTTGGGGTGCTTATTTTTTTTGTTTTTTTTAATTTTGTTTGTTTTCTAAAAAAATAAAATAACCAATCGCGGGTCGCCACGTGTCCATGGAATCCGCGAACAGTGCAAGCATTCAGCAAAATGTAGTGCTTATTTAAACCCTTTTGCAACCGAGTCCTCCTCTTTTTATGGCCCCCCCATTAAGCCTGCCCTAAGACTTTAAAATACATTGGATATCTCACACGGTAGAGGAAACCTCTGTGTGACGAGCCATTGTGATGGGTTTTTGAAGTTAGGAGTTTTCAAAGCTCTTAAAACAAATGTTGTAGTATAAGAGGTTATAGAACCAATTCTAAAAGATTTTAAAGCACTGAGAATGCACTCACTTAATCTAAGTGCAATCGAATAAATAATGGTTTTAAACTATATATAACTAAGAGTAAGAAAAGAGAATACTAAAATAACTTCTTTGATTGAGAGAAAGGAGAACTCATGGGAATATGGATTAGACATCGGGTGATCAAATTTCAAACTAAGGATGGCAAATGACCAATTAAACTATCAACCTTAAGCCTAGACACTTCTCTAAGCAAGCTCTATGTCTAGATGAATGCTCATTTACTAACATAACTCAAACATCAAATGTCTTCGGTTGAATGTTATAGTAATAATCTTTAAGAACAAGTCTATTGGCTATCTTAACACCTTTAACAACAAATGTTTTTGGTAAAGTATGTTAAAAGCTTAGGAGAGTTGGTTCAGACATACCACCGAACACCTTATGAGGTGGGAATTGCCTAAAGCTCAACCTTTTAGAGGCCAACTCAAAAGGTGCATTAAGAGTACTCTACTAGCAAGGAATAAGAGAACCTATAGTAAACATCCTAGTTCTAGTCTAGTCACCCTTAATCTCCCTATCCCATGAATTCAAAAGTGGATTACTCACTAATCTTCATGATTCCTCTTAAACCCATATTGGATTCAAGCTTAATCATGTCAAGATAAGTAGATAATGCAATGAAACATAACACGATCACAAGAACAATGAAGAATGATTCATAGAAATCAACTTTTCCAAGAGGTTTTTGTGTTTTCTCCTCCCAAAATCAAGATCACTGCCTGGTAGGCTACAAAAGGGTACTTAAACTTAGGTTTAGGAAGTGTAAAAACTTGAAACAAATGACCAAAAGGTCCCTAAGAATTACAAGGTTTCGACCAAGCAAATGACGCGGAGCGACCTCGCCACGTCGCTCCGGGAGGTCGCTCTGGATGGGAGCAACCTATGGACGTCGCTCCAAGGACTGTTTTGGCTTCCGGATTTGATAAAAAGGCGAGCGACCTAGGTGCCTCGTTCCGGGAGGTTGCTCTGGCTGAGAGCTACTTATGGACGTCGCTCCGGGAGGTCACTCTGGCTGGGAGCTACCTATGGATGTCGCTCCAAGAGGTCGCTCTGGCTGGGAGCTACCTATGGACGTCACTCCAGGAGGTCGCTCCAGGACCTCCTCCTGCAATGATCACTCTTTACTTCTCTTTTGAACCTCAAATGCATCCAATCACCTCCAAGAACTCCAAAGGTACTCCAATACCTAATAAAGCCCCATGTATGCAAAATGCAACCTAGAAATGACTAAATCTTAATCTATATGATCAAAATGCAATTGGATGAATGGATAAAACAATGGAAATTTGCAAGATATCAACTCCCCCAAACTTGTTCTTTACTTGTCCTCAAGTGAACTTTCTAGAGCTCATAGGAAGAGATGTTTGAAGGTTGGAGCTCATGGTCAAAAGAAACACATTTAAAACTCAACTTAACATCCTAAAGAGACATAGCAAATAGCATGAGCACACTCTCTTACCAATACTCTCAAGATTTTGCACATGACAAGCTATCAAAAGAGGCCTCACTCATGCAAATCAAATGTTTGGTCTCAAAAGAATGGCTTGGGTTCAAATTAAGGGTGTGGAGGACCATTTGGGTTAACAAAAGGATGGTAAAATAGAATAAGATAACCCAAATGTGTATGAGATCCATGATCAAGTATGCAAGTGCCCATACGCAAGAGAGATTAAGTCCATTAAGCCAAATTTTAGATAGGAGCTGGTTTCAAGAACAATGTCAATTTCAAGCAAGCAAACATGTTTCAAGAAGAGTTTTCAAGGCTCGAAGCGTGCAAGGCTTTCAAGAGATGCTCAAGCTACTTGATATGTGTAACTAGGGTGTCACTTTGAGCTCTTGACAAGTATTCTAAAATCATTGGTCCCAGTGCAAGCGAAGGTAAGCTATATGCTCTAGACTATCCTAAAAATGCAAGTGATACAGCCTAAATGATTTTTTTTTTGTGTTTTTCAAATTTTCATTTTTTTGTGGTTTTTCTATGCCAATAAGTATGTATAATGCAATGCATGAGACTCAAAATCATCAAAGAAAACGTGATTAAATACTTGGTACCTCCCCCTAAACTTAATTCACATAGTCTCTGTGTTGTTAAGTTGAAAGAGATACCCAAAAGAGAGCTAAAATGCAAAAATAAAAACTGGTATATACAATGGAAAGAAGTGGAGTACCTTGCTAGTTAGTGAGAAGGAGGGTCCTTCCCACCCTCAAGAGTGATGGTGAGGACGTGGGAGAGAAGCTCTTGAAGCTTGGTTGGATCATCTTGGAGTTGAGGAGTGATGATGGCTCTTGCACTGGAGAATGACTTAGACCTTCCCTTGCACTTGATCTTGTACTCAATGGTTCCATGAGCAGATTTTGTTGCTTCACTCACTCCCTCCTTCTTAGCACTTTCCAAGTGCTCTACACATAACTCTTGTGAATACTCGCCATGAAGATCTTCTTTCTCAGTTACAGCCACTTCGGTCTTCTTAAGTGATGTGTTTTCACAGGTGATTGTTCCACAATACCCAACATCCATTGGAGACTGGATTGGGTAAGAGACAGCTTTGTTCACATTGAGGAGTGTGACCTTCTCGTTTGGGAAGTCAATACATGCTCCAACTGTTGTGAGAAATGGAGTGCCAAGGATCAAAGTAACTATCTTTTCAGTTGCCATCTTCAGGACTGTGAGGTCTATAGGGATTGTGCATGCTCCAATCTTCAAAGGGAAGTCCTTGATGAGGCAAATGGGGGGTTGTACAAGATGACTCCCCAAACATGAGAGAAGATGTGTTTGGCTCCATGCTTTCAATACCAAGACTATTCACCATTTCCATTGAGAACACATTGACATTGGCACCAATATCCACAAGAGCATCATTCATGCTGATTTTACCAAGGGAGCAAGACAGTGTGAACTTCCCTTGTGACTCTAGCTTATAGAGAGACTTTGGAGGGACTTGTGGATCAATCAGTGATGTAGAGATGTCTAGAAGCTCTGCTACTTTTTCTTTGTGATCTAGAATGTTCTTGATGAGCATCATTTGGACATATGCCTCTTGCATTGTATTAAGCTCTGGAAGTTTAACTCCAACATCACTCAAGTCTTTCCTGAACTTGGAGATCACCTTCTTTTGAGCTTTAATGATGACCCTCTTTGGAAATGGGAGCTTGTCAAAAGGAGACATCTCAGCTCTGACTCCAACTGGCTATACAACCTCTTTTTCAACCTTCTCTACAACCTGAGCATCAGCCTTGGCTACAATCTGTCTCTCATCCTCCACAAGTTCAGATTCATAGAAGAATCTTTCAATCTTATCTACCTCTTTCTCATGATCATTCAATTCAGTCTCAGAGGTAGCAACAGAGATGAAAACATTGCAATGGTCTTTCCCTGAGCGTTTAGAGGTGGAAGTTATAGAAGAAAACTGGTTCT